TGCTAATTGCATCAGCTTCTTCGTCGATGGGCTTATGGTATTTCTTCTTCTCAAAAAATACGCTCAAATCACTCACAAATCCACACGCGGTATAGCCACACTAAAGGATGTCGACCGTTTTCGGAATGGGCTTTTTGAAAAATACCGCGAATAAATCAAGCTTATTGTGACTTAAGTTATGATACGCAAGCCATTTTAATCTATCCAAAGCCGACCAAAGCCAGTCATAAACTACAGGCCTTCTATCTTAAAAGCTACTGATATTCAAAGCTCTAACTACTATAAAAGAACAATAGACTCAAGTGCCGATTGTCAACAAAACTGTACAGGTGAAATAACGAAGGATTGCAAACAAAGGATCAGTAAATGGTATTTGCGTTAGACCAAATCCGGGACCAAATGTCTGTCAAAGTAAGGACAATTCTTGGTCAACAATAATAATACTAATACATTTTCTTTTTTTACTATTTTCAATCCAAGGAAGGATTTTTAGTTTTACTTTATATTTGATAATTAAAGTTTTTATTATTCTTTGCAATAATTGCGGTAAATTTATCAAGTCAAAATTATATAAGTCTTAATTATTATGCTATCAACTGGACTGAGAATTTATTATATTTTTTGGTCACGGCAAGAATAAATGAAACTACATATTCTATATGTATTATTAAACCAAGAGACTACACTAAAAAGAACCCCGAGTGCACGCTGACAAGCGTCTTGTTACTCGGGGTTCCTGTGGAACGCCGAGTATTAATTTCGGCTTTATTATTTTTTTTTGCATTCATCGCCAAATCGCGGCCAGACTAGCCAGGCGTTCCTAGCCTGTCTTGTCTCGTCCCATGCTTCAAGTGTTAATTGCATCAGCTTCTTCGTCGATGGGCTTATGGTATTTCTTCTTCTCAAAAAAATACGCTCAAATCACTCACAAATCCACACGCGGTATAGCCACACTATAGGATGTCGACCGTTTTCGGAATGGGCTTTTTGAAAAATACCGCGAATAAATCAAGCTTATTGTGACTTAAAGAATCCTACCCAACTACAATGCTTCGCGCGCTTCTATTATTGTTTTCATACGGGATACCACGAATTTTTAGTGACGTTTGATGACGTCCGATGACGTTTGTGTGACGTTCGTTAACATCCGTGTGGACCTGGGCTTCAACAATGGCGTCAGAATTAGATACCACCGTGACAGAAGTTGAAAGAGGTCAAAATTTCTATGGATCTTTTCTTGATAGTAGCTCTTCCGATTCTTCTTCTTCTTCTGTGACTCTCGAATCGAACGAAGATGAAGTTTTGGTGAGTAAACACCGATATAGCTGATAGAATTTGATAGATATCTTTCAAGTTATACATTCTATTTTTGGTTTTTGAAGTCCGTTTCCAATCAAGCTTACCCGTTA